CTCAACTAAATTGCTTTTGGACATTTATAAAAAAAAAAACTTTTTTCTAAACATTAATTGCAAAAAGTTATTAAGTAGAACACAAAAACTGCACTATTGAAAATCTTTTTGTAACGTTTATTTTACATTCTTCTTTAAATCTACATGGTAAGTTACCTGTACGAAAGAATATATTTTATGTACGTAATTAATTTCATATATTTGTAAAGTTACGTTTTCTATACCCATTTTTAAATAACTCCTTATTTTATTTAATAATTATCTATCTACGCACTGTGATTTACGATTTGTATCATAACAAACGCGAAATTGCCAATAATTCTGAACAGTGTATAGGGTAAAATGTATATGCAATTTCAAAATACATTTTACAAAGTAGAGTCAGCCCACACAGAAATCTACATCTAATAACATGTTTATTATACATCTAAATAAACGAGAAGAATATACACAATATTTTACTAGTAACAGATTGGTAGGTAATACTGGTAAGAACTTAGTGTCGTATTCTAGAACTCTACTCTACAATGCTCAAGTCAGGATTGCAATTGAAACACAAGCACTGGAAATACGACCCTAATGGCAGGGACTTGAGAATGATTTCGAGTGCTTTGAATCATACTCAAATCCTGACTTGAGTATTGAGTAGAGTTCTAGAATACGACCCTCAGACAATCACGCCAAAATCGGCCGGCTTCCTGCTTTAGGCGCAAGACAACTGTGATGCTTACATATTCTGTCTTTCCAGGTGAGTAGCGCGCTTGAACTACTTTTTTATAGATAATTATTAGCGGAAACTGTGATTTCAAAAGTTTGATGCAATACTTGCTTACTAATAGAAACAGTAGTTTCAAAATTTTCACAGGTAATTATTTATAGAACAGTGATTTCAAAAAATTGACCGATAACAAGCAAGCAGCAGTTGTTTTAACGACAAATTTAGACTTGTCGTTATGACTGGAAAGACAACATGAATGCTACCGAATTGTCTTTTGCCATAAGCCTCAATTTACATTGCGGCGGAACATGGCATATTAACATTACAAAACTCGCGCATTCCGCGGAAAATTTTGGCTCGTATCTAGTTTGTACGTTACTCAGTTCATCATAAAGTTCGTTATGCTATGTACAATATTCTTACAAAAATGTGTTTCCATTCCGTTCCGCCGCAATATAAATTGAGCCTAAAGGGCTCTTACACATAAACACGATACGACATTGCGTCGTGCGCACGACGCGGCATCGTTTCACGCTGCGACGTCGTATCGTGGAAATCTACAACGAGGAACGTAAAAATTCACGACACGACATTGCCACGTGACACGACGTCGTATCGTAGAAACTCACGGTGCGCTCCCCAGTGATGCATTCATTTGTTATTCAAAATTCAAAGATGCGAGATTTCACGATGCGACGTCGTATCGTGTTTATGTGTAAGAGCCCAAAGGGATAGCTATCTAGTCTATAATAGGGCTCTACCCGTGCTTATTAAGTCCCCAAGGAACGAAATAAGTTATGTGTACAAATAAAACAGTTATTTCTCATACTGGCAGAATGTACATGTTAACATTATTAAACAAGCCATAATGAATTACATTGCTGTTTGAATAAGTATTAAAACAATTTTACTTTATATTAAAGTAATAAGTTACGCTATTTTTAAATAAGTTGACCTTTGCCATTATTTTACATAAAACTTTTTTGTATTTACCGATTTTATCACGCAAAGAGATATATTTCTAATAGTATTTTCTTTTTAAACCGTATTTAAGCTTTTTGCATAATATTTTAAAGTTAATATACAATTATAGGTTTGTGTGTTACTCACCATCTGATACAGGCACAAAACCTACTTTGTCGTGAATACAATGATCGTAGTCGCTAGCGATCAGGTCAAATATTTTTATAGGTATTTCTTTTGTTGGGATCTGGATGTTGTCTGACTGGTCGATTAATTCTGTACCGTATTATAACTCGGTATTGACTTTAATATATATGAATGAAGTTATCATTGGCAATTAAACAAATTTTTCCGGATCCAAAATCGCCTATTTTTGTTTTTTCAAACAAACCAACGTTTCTAGCACTTTACAGTACGGCTAGCACGATAAGGCGCGACTTTTGCGAGAGCGACGTAAAGCGCGAGATCTCTAAGTGAGAATAGCAGCATTTTTTTTTATAAATTTGACCGCCATCTCACCTGATGGAAAGTGACGATGAGCTCTCACACACTCTCGCCTTGAAAGGTCCAAGTTGTAACGTTCAGGGAACAAGTCTGCAGGCAGGGAATTCCACTTCATAGCCGTTTGTCATATAAATGTGGAAACATATCGCTTCATGCGAATCTTTGGAATATCCACAACATAGGGGTGGAACCCTAGCCTACGCCTAATCCCCCGGTGATGGAAAGGGGAAGCCGGAATTAAATCGTGTAATTCCATCGCACACTCCGTGATATATCCTGTCAAATACCGATAAGCAGGCAACTTTACGGCGGTGTTCAAGGCTCTGCAGCTTCGCCTCCAGTATCTCGCGTTTTATGTCGCTCTCGCGCTAGTCGCGGCCTATCGTGCTAGCGTTACTGGTCCCATGATAACGGCCGACTTAAAATGGGTAAAAAATAGTTTAATTTTACTATGTGTGATAGTCGCGAAAACCTAAGAACTCATTTATATAGAATATTAGTATAAAATATTTATAGTTCTTTTTGTGACGTGCGCTGCACGATTGGTCATACAAAATTGTCAAGTATTTTAGTTGTCGCTAGCGAATATCTACTCTATAGAATCATGGTAACAGTTTTTTAGGCTCAATTTTTATTGTGTTGGAACGGAATGGACGCGAATTTTTGTAACTATATTGTACATAGTGTAATGAACTTTATCGTCATTTGTGTAACGTATAAACTAGGTACGAGCCAAAAATCACGTCGCGCGTGTTTCGCGGGATTCTAGCGAGCGCTCGAGAACGCTCGCGTATTCGCAAGAAGTGGGCAGTGGCGCGAAGGCAGGCGCAGTGTGATGTCAAACGTCGACGAAATACTACAGCTCGCAAGGCGCAGTCGCGAGACAGTTCGCGAATGCTCGAGCATTCCAGCGGCGAAATTGACGCTTCCGTTCCATTCCGTTCCGCTTCAATATAAATTGAGCCTTAGGGTTAGTAACTTTTTTTTTACTACAATGTTTTTGGTATCGGTTGTAGAAATTCGTTCAATTTTATGCGACGAAACGAGCGTAAATGTAACATCACAATTAGTTTTGCTTAAGTTTGTAATGGAGACGGCGAAAAAAGTTTTAAGTCCATTTCGATACTTCGGGGAAAACGACACGTTCGTTTTTAAATTTGTAATTTGGTTTTTACACTCTTTCTACTTTGAAGTGTCGTATTGTAGCAAGCCTTCGTTTTAAGTCGTCCCGACGACGAGCAGTGCGTCAATATTATTGTAAAATAACAAGTACGGTAACTCTAGGTTTGCACAGCGAGGGTCGTCCCATTTATTATAAAATGGAAGCGTTCGTTCGGCGTCTAAAAAATGACATCAAATGTAAACGTGTTTATTTTTGTGTTTGTGGTAATTTGAACAAGATTGCCTCATATTTCTAAATTATTCAACATTTCATTTATATTTCGTAATCATACTTCATAATCAAGTATAATGCAAACAACTAATTTAAACACTTATGCATTGGCGCTTAATCCTAAACTTGATAATCTTTATGCGGAGTTCCGCAAAGTTAGTTTACTTTGTTGAATTAATAAGAAAAGAGTTGGCAGTCGGTATTTTACGAAGTATCTACTGTTTAAAAATCTGCCTGATGAGGAAAGATATAATTCAAAACTAAAATTCAGAAAAAGCATTCAGCGCACCCATGATTTACGTACGATGAACCAAGATCATTAAGGGTCGAAACACAAAAGTGCGAATAGGCGCGATGCGAATTCGCAACGCAGAAAACTGCGGCGCGAATTGCTTCGATGCGATTTCTAAAATTTTATTTTTAATTTTATTTTTACTTTCTAAAATAATAATGCAGCAACCCTACTCTCTAAATGAAGTTTAGCAGCAGTAGAAAGCTTGTGAAAGAGTTCGTCCAGGTCACTGCTGCCTTACCCATTTCAGCCGCCAAGCAGTAATGTGACCATTACTGGATTTCGGTTTTGAAAGATGAGGGTACTGGTGAAATTACAGGGACTCGTCGACTTATGACGACGTATGAGTGACAGGCGCAGTGGCAGTGCCCCTCAGATCTTTGCGAATTAAAGCTCTAAATGGCACTGCAATTGTTATGGACTGGCGTGTAGCTTACCACCAGACACATGATCGTCCCGTCACTTGATATTATAAAAAAAATAATAATGTGACAACCCTACGCCCCAAGTGCAGTGAAGATATTTACGCCCAAAAGGCGGGAGTTGCCCTACTTGCTTTTATTATATGTCTATACCATAGTGACTCTAGAAGGCTCATAAACGTTTGTCTCCGTTCTTGAGTTGTAGTGACATTGTGCGCCTAGAATTTCTATAACACGAAGAGACGAGAGTCCGCTCTTTTTTTATATGTATTAAAATTATATTTTACGAAAATATTAATTTATATAATTTACTTATTATGTCCATCTGTGATTGATCCCAAAAACGCGTGCTTTTATATTATGTATTATTATTTTATACTATCATTTGTTAACGTTAGAATCTCATTGATATTCCAATCATGTTATCCGTGCAATATCAAGTATGTGATATATTTTTAAGATTTTGTTTCAGCAAAGTGCTTTGTTTTTAACAAAAGTTGAGAAAATTGCTATAATGCCATTAGGTGTACGTTAGACGTGTAACTGAAAACTTTTCAAAGCAATGTTTAATGCGAAATTGTTTAAAACCTGCAAGGTTGAGGTATAAGTTTCTTTAAAATACTGGATACCTGTCGCTGCCTTATACAATGACGTAGTATTGTAGTAAATTGCAAACATGCAGCCAAAGTTTCGCTTACTCTGCTCGTCGCTGTATGCTTAGTTCAAAATCGCAGTATTCTGCAATACTGCGTTATTGTATAAAAGCAGCGAATATGTTTATAGCCTAAAATAACTCTGCCGTAATGATATTAGAGCAATTTTGTTAACTATTTATATTTAAGTTAGTTAAATTTTAAGTTAATGCCACGGAATGTCCGTTCTAGGTACAATAGCGTGACAACCTGTTGTAATGTTGGAAACCATTCTCATTAAAATTACATTTTACACAGTATCTATGATTTTTTGTTCCATCCCAAACACAATCGTAGTCGTAGACTGAAGGCCAATCAATGCTATCTTCAAGGTTTATTGGTGTCCAGATCGGGTTCCAGTACCTGAAAAGGGATATTCATCATTGAATTGGACTCACTGGCGGTTTGTGGTTTTTAAATAAACATAAAACAAAGACAAAACAATTTTAATAAATAGTTTTAATTCAAATATCGAACCTCAAGTTATAACCCGACAGAATTTTTTTTTTAATGGAAAATTATTTTTCCATCTTTTACAGTTGACGCTAAGGATACTGAACGATGGAGCCATTTTAAAGACTTTTTTACATGATTCGTTTTTTTTCCGTTGTCCAACCATTTTAAATTCCTTTATTTTTTTTTCATCCTCTAAGATTTTAAATCTCGTTTACTTTGCTTATAGCTATACAATTTATTTCATAATTCACACTGAAACGTAAAAGATACATATAACCGTAACATATGAGCCTTCAAATTATATTTTTCAAATATTTCAGAAATTTTTCCGGCTAAATTTCCACTAGGTATTTGAAATTATTTTAGAAAATTACTCAGTTATAGTAGTTATACTTAGTTTACCTTGTAAGTACAAAATGTAAGTAAACGCTTACCCGCGAAAAGCCAAAACAAAGGCCTTAAACTTACGGGGTTGATTCCAGGAGTTTCGTTGCCAATGCCTTTGTAAATATTACTGAGACTCAAAAGTCGCTTGACGTTAGACCTAGGCAAGTGTTCAGTAGAATCTTCAAAAGGCATTGTGAAAAGAGCTAGAGCCAACCTAGCTTAGAATTAATTTTTCTCAACAGAATAAAGAACACTCGAAAAGAAAGTCCCTTTTTGAAAAGTTGTACTAATGAGTGGTATAATTGGTACCTATTAAGCTTAGAATAACGACACAAATAAATATACTTAGGTACTTTCAAGTCAAGATTCCGCAATGCTTCTTCATAGTCCAACAAGCCAGGATCATCAGGAGCCCAGACGCGGCATTCTTCGTCAAAGAACTTTCTCATCTTAAGCTCCAACTCTTCGTTATAAAGCGGACGTACACGAGTCGGGGTGGTCTCGATTGGTTCTGGGCTTGAATACTGGAAACTGATCCCGATATCCATAGAATTATAAATTACTATGCTGGTGTAATTACACCACACATTTATTTACCACAATTCTATGGTAAATAAATATACACATTTAACAAACTAGCAAACTATAAATATATATAGCGACATCTCTCGCCAGGACTAGTAGCTGTAAAGGTACTAACTGGGTGATAAAGCTTTCATAGGTTTCTCATCGATGGCGCCGACGCTGCGCTGCGTTGGTTTTTCAACGACTAAAAAGTTTAAATCTTTATTGAATATCAATTCAATAAAGATTTAAAACTATCATGAACCATGCGAGTTAATGTGTATGTGTGTGCATTGAGTGGCCACAATGGGCACTTGCAAATACAGTAAGTAGGTTGGTACTCCAAATTATAGGTTGAGTCCACCAGGATCCCCTAGCTAGAGGATCTTATTGAATTCAGCAGTTCGTTAGAATCCCCTAAGTTAAATGTATAATAATAATAATCTTTATTGTTCTCTCACAAAGTCTTAGAATATTTAAAGTAGTGACTTATCTAAGTAATGTTATATTATTAAGTCTGTGGGACAGACTGGCGTCCGTACTAGGAGACCTGTATTACAGATCACGAGCCTCTCCACACTCCGGACCAAAGGTAAGTAAGTACACTCGAACTTAGATAACTATAATCTTAGTGAACAGTACTGGACTTAGGCGTGAGGTGAATGTGTGTCTGTGTGGGGGTTAGTGTGTGTATGGAAGGGGGTGTGTGTGTGTGTGTGTCTGCGTGTGTGCAAAACCGAATTAGCCATAAGGAAAGAATAAAGTATATTAATTCGATACTAATAATAATTTTAAGTTGGAACAATTAAGAGATTTTCAGTTTCGTCGTAGTTTAGATTTTTAAGATAATTAGTGATAACTCTTTTGCAGTTGAATTTTGTGAGTGGATAGATTTCACTTATCTTATTTATTTTATTATACAAGTACCCACCCACAAAACGGAAACTTTTTTGTGAAAAAGCTGTGGTCCACCGAGTAGAGGAATGACAGACGTATGTAAAGTTACAATCGCATTGCGACAATAAATAATTACTTATTGTACAGATCGGGTGCTCAGTGAAATATATCGTACTAACAATTGTAGAGAAAGCTGTAACTCAGGTTTAATAAATTGATTGGCCGTGAACGCCCCAACATCATACAATTGTTAAACGTTCTGAAAAGAGATTCTGAACAAAAGCTACAAGTCAAGACAAAACGCAAAAAAAAATTAAATTGCAAATAATAAATTCTTCCAAGTGGTTTAGCACTCAATTTGGACAACTTAGGTATCTACAAATTTCAAGTTACGTAGATACGTAAGTAGATGCTCAGTTACAGAAATTTTGAATCTATAGGCGTCCCTTATTACAACAAGATCATGGTTGAATTTGATTTGTCAGGTAAAAGTCGTCATTTATTCGGTTCTAGTTTCAAATAACCTCAGTATAGAGTACTAAAAAAACCGACCTCAAAAGTACGTGGAATTACGTCTATTTGCTAAGTTTTATTGAAATATCCCCTAGTGCGCCACTATACAGGACTTGACACAGGAGATAATAAAAATCGGTTCTCACTACTCAAAGTATATCGAGAGAAAAACGCCTTGAATTGGAGAATAGCAAAATCAACCATTAAAGTAATTGCTCCTAAATTAAAGTTAGGCGCTATTTACAATAAAAATGAATTTTAACGTGTGAACAGCCACCCTTGGAGGTGGATGATTTTCTTCAAAATGAAATGGGACCACTATGGAAGTACCCCCTTTCCAACAAAAAAATAATCATGAAAATCGGTTCACAAATACCGGAGTTATCGCGTAACATACATATAAAAAAAAAGAACATACAGTCGAATTGAGAACCTCCCCTTTTTTGAAGTCGGTTAAAAAAACTAGATTTAGTCGGTCCGCCGTTTCAAAGTTCTAAGGGTTGGTATTTTGGCCACGCTGTAATAAAATTATTCCGGTTGGCAAATAAATGTTTTTATCACGATGACAAGCATTATAGTGTAAGCCTTCGACAAGTTGAAATAAAAATCATTTTATAATGTCGAGAACCACAGCCAATAATTTAAATTATTGAATGCAGAGAGATAGCTGACTGCACTCAAAGTCGCGAATGAGACGGTTCTAGTCGCAACATTTTAGGATTAGTCACTCTAGCATGTCAAGTGAGTTAACTTATTACTTATGATTCATGTATCTACTAGAGCAGTGGATGGAATTTACCTTTCAAGTGAAGTCAGGTATTCTGATGGAAATGTATCGAGTGCCTCCCGCATCTGCGCAAATGGGTCGCTGATTCTTCTATTCCTCAGCTGCAAGAATATTCAGGTAAAAAAACATTAATATTAGAAGGAATCTCGATTCCCTACTTAAGCTTAAAAAAGAGGGCTGCCTTTTTTTGCGCGCAAAATTTTACAATTGAATATTTTTCGCCATAGACTTGTAACCTTTGATTTTATGATCTCAGGTCACATATTTAAATCGAAATTTAAATTTCTCACACTTGAAGTATGGGCCTCATAAGAAGACTCAAGGTCACTCAGCGGGCAGTGGAGAGAGCTACGCTTGGTATTTCCTTACGTGATAGAATCAGAAATGAGGAAATCCGCAGGAGAACTAAGGTAACCGACATAGCTCGAAGAATTGCTCAGCTGTAGTGGCAGTGGGCGGGGACATAGATAGGAGAACCGATGGCCGTTGAAGCGGAAAGGTTCTTCAATGGCGGCGCACCAGACGACACTCAGTGGGTAGGCCCCCCACCAGGTGGACCGACGATCTGGTGAAGGTCGCGAGAAGCCGATGGATGCGGGCAGCGCAGGACCGATAGTTGCGGGAGTGATGATAATGATGAAGTAATAAGGCTACATCGGCAAAATAGTAACGAACGAAATTAATTGGTAACTTCTTGAGAAAAGTTTAATGGAGGATGGAGGAGATGGAATCATGGCCTAAGCGTAACTGAGAATATTGTCTGGTTTATATATATTTTTTAATAATATTATTATTGTTCATTACATGTAAATTAGTCGTACATAGTCATAGTCATACCATTTTTTTAAAATTAATCTATTAAATGTTATTAATGAATTCAACCGACATAATTATTAGTATCCGATGTTTATCGTGGCGATTGTTTTGTTGAATTGGATTATGTTGAAAAACGATGTCTCAACAAGGTCAGGCTGAAAATCAGTACCGCGAGGCATACAGCCACAAGGATTTATTTATTTATTTATTTATTTATTTATTTATTTATTTATTCATTGCTTGCTACATGGTTTTCTTAGATCTAAATTTTACATTTTTTCCTTATACATATAGCACACCGGTAGGGCGTTGCAACATCTGAGAGAGAGCACACTTTACAATATTCCATTTACATATCTATTACATTACATGTCATATTTATTGGCAAAAATTATACATTACTAAAATAGTCAAGATAATAATAGTAATTAAAAAAAAAAAAAAAAAAAATTGTCGTATAATTACCCAATATCAAAAATAAAATTATACTGAATTATAGGATTATACTGAGCCTGTTCCTACCACGCACTGTTGTTGTTCCCAGAATATTGTTATATTATTATGTTCTGTACGTATTACTGTGTGTGGTAAATAAATGTTTAAATATCTGTAAAAATACTCATATAAGAAGATCCAAAAAGCTAAATCCATAGTTACTTCAGCTACTTTCACAGTCTAATGACATACGGCATTTTGCTTTGGGGTAATGCAGCCGATATCAATAGAATCTTTGTCCTGCAGAAACGTGCGGTTAGGGGAATTTACAATCTGGGCCCCAGAGTATCTTTGAGAGATACGTTTAAGGAAATTAATATTCTTACACTAGCGTAAGAGGAATAGTACCTAATCTCTTTATGAAAAATAGTGAGAGACATAACATTAATACGAGAAATAAACACAAACTAGCTGTTCTTGATAGTCGTCTTCACAAAGTCACAAATTCATTTAAGGGGTAATGTATACGCTTCTATAACAAGATTCCGGTTGATATACAAAATTTGCTTTTCACGAGGCTTAAAACTATAGTGAAACTAAAACTTGGTTGACAAAAATCCGTGGTAGTAACCCGTTTAGCTCATGGAGATAGTCTCGATCTCTGATGTTTGAAAGCAAAACAAAAAATATATTGTAAATTTTGAATGCGTACGAATGTTATTTACAAAGAGCGACCACTAGAGTTTCTTGCTCATTCTTCTCAGGGGAATCTGCCTTACGAATGAGCGGTAAAGTTTAACGAATGTGACGATCTAGTGTAATAATGCTTACCTATGAAATAAGGATTATTTTGATTTTGATGTCATTTCATACCCACGATACCACGATTACGTTTAACTAAGGTAAATGATTCCTTTATGGGGAACTGTAACGTACTTACAATAAAGTTCCGGATACTCAGAGTCGTATTCTAGAACTCTACTCAATGCTCAAGTCAGGATTTGAGTATGGTTTAAAGCACTCGAAATCATACTCAAGTCCCTGCCATTAGGGTCGTATTTCCAGTGCTTGTGTTTCCAGTGCAATCCTGACTTGAGCATTGAGTAGAGTTCTAGAATACGAGCCTAAGATTATCATTTCCAATGTTTACACTTATGTTAAAAGTATTTTAATTGAAAAGTCATATTACAAAATTTAAAACTACGTGTTAGAATTGTTTATTCTCTAGTAGTAGTACACACATCAAAAAAAGTTTGCGATCACTTCGAAAAACTGAAATCTTGTTTGTTGCTGTAGATTATATTATGATTTTTTCTTCTTTTTAGATTCTTTATTTAAAAATGAATTAGAACATAAAACAATGACCCCGTTCAATTGTTTTTTCATATAAAAAGGCTTTCAGTCCTAGCTTACGCTCATTCAGAAATCTGATTTAGTCAATTATAAGCGATTCAAGATATTTTTCGCGGAAAGTTGTGATTGAAAAAATGCCAAGAGGATTATCAGAGGTTTTACGAGCTAGAATAATAACTTTGAGGGAAGAAGGATACACCACGAGAGTGATAGCACGCAGACTTGCTATATCCCAATCCTGTGTCGTGGCTACGTTGCAGAGGTATTACGGAATGGGGAATTTAGCTGACTGACCCCGCAGCGGTCGCCCAACTGTTTTGACAGCTGCCCAAAAGCGCTATATTAGATTGCTGGCAGCCCGTGATCCAACAATCAACGCCACTAAAATAAAAGCAGAAGTCAGGGCCGCCTCTGGGCTTGAAGTTAGCACGCAGACCGTTCGCAATTGCTTGCACCAGGCTGGATTACGAGCACGGAGGTCTTGGCGAGCTCCGCTCAATTCCCGGCAACGTCAATAACGAGATTGCAGTGGGCTAGACTTCGGCAAAATGAAGAAGGTGAGGACGAAGACATTTGGCAAAACTGTCTCTTCATTGACGAATCCCGAATCAGCACTCATCCAGATAACCGACGTGTCCGTGTCTGGAGAAGACCAGGCGACCGTGAAAGACAAAGAACTGCCACTGGAACAGTTCAGCAAGGCGGAAAATCGGTGTCCTTTTGGGGTGGCATTATGATTGGAGCTAGAACGCCTTTGATCCCGTATCGGGGCTTCATGACAGCAGACATGTACAAAGCAGTTGCTATTGATGATATCGTCAGACCATTCCGAGTAAACCATGGGCACCAATTTGTACTGGTCGATGATAATGCGCCCGCACATCGAGCTCAACGAGTCAATGCTGCTCTTCAAGAATACGATATCACACGATTAGACTGGCCTGCCGGCTCGCCCGACTTACACCCAATAGAGCACGCGTGGGATGCTCTTAAACGAGCAGTATGCAACCGTGAGCCACGTCCCCAGACAGTTCCAGAGCTCAGGGAAGCCGCTATTGAAGAATGGGATAGGTTACCCCAGGAAATGCTGGATAACTTGATCCTCAGCATGCCCAGGAGGATCTTCGCATGTATTCGAGCCAGGGGAGGAGTTATTTTATATTGAATTCGCACATTTTAATAATAAATTGTTGTTTAAGTTTAATTAAACAGTCTTTTTCTTTCTATGAAATTTCTATTACTATTACATTATGATTAATGGCTCAATTTTTTAAAATAAATAATAAAAAATAGTTTTATATTCTAATTTCAAACAGGGTATTCCTATTTAAAGAAAGCATACAACATAGATTTTTTCTTGATAAAGTTAAATTTAAAGAATTATAAGAGCTTATGCTATTGATCGCAAACTTTTTTTGATGTGTGTATGTACTAAGTTCCACGTGGAACAATTGTAACCTTAACATGTCATATTTATTCCCATTAGTTTCATGTAATTTTAAACTATTTTTACAACTGAATTTTCTTCCTCATCAACTCTTTAGACGTTCATTAACCCCATTTCCAAGATGGACAAATATTTTAACGATTATTGTAGAACATGCGATAACAAAACTTTTATTCATATAATTTACAAATTTGTATTGCACAGCATTTAAGTTTATTTGAAAAAGTAGCCCCTAGAGTTTCTTTCTAGTTCTTCTCACTGAAATCAGCAGATTGAATGAGCAGTTGCTTGAAAAATGACGTTTTCTAGTGTAAATTTATTTTACCCATGGAATAAATGTTTTCTTATACTTTAAAACGAATTTCTAGTTTATTGTAAAATTCAGATTATAAGTACTGTCATCTAATTATACGCGAACTAAAGTCTAATATTGGTATACGGTTTTAATTTTAAGAAAAATGACACTGTGTTGGATTCTACATTCGGCACACGTCACCGTTCTCAAGTTTTAGGCATTTGGGATTTTTTTCCATTAGATCCGAAAGGTTTATTGGGAAGATTTGTGCTCTCTTTTTTTGTAGATTCTTGTTTTGAAAAATAACTAGAGTTTAGTGCATGGACACAGAAAATTGCGGCTTGAAGAAATGCCCATTTGTATACCTGCTATGAATATGTAATACCTTGTCAAAATTCAAAGAATTTATATCATAAGTAGCACCCATTTACCTCTATATAAAAATTATAGAAAACCTACTCACCCTTCTGTATCTATCGTAGTCGATCTCAGAATCCGTCATAGCTCTCGATAAGGAAATACTAGAATCAGTGCTAGCCGTGCCTTTTCTCGGCAATGGAAATAAATAGTCGTCAATGCTATCTGAGACCAAACTGTCACCCGGAAGTTCACTCCTGATTGTCGAGATTTCGTCCAAATCTGCGTCCACGTCGGTTGTTAGTCTAACATCATCAGGAATCTCCAAGTCGTTAACAAACTCGGAGCGATTTTTCGGAAGAGAATTTAAAAACGATTTGAACATGTAGGCCATTATTAATACAAATTACTCGTATGCTTTTTTGGAATAGTGTTCACGTAAAAATATTCCAGTTTAAAGGATAACTTATTGCACAAAATTTCGTCACATAACTACGTTCCACGAGCCACGTGTATACCTCGAATCGAAAAGCTCAACAAAAGGTCTTGTGCAATTCGAACAAAGAGTTGGCGAAAGGATGTTTGATCGATATGGCTTCCTACCTACGTGAGACCAACCACGAATTTATGACCTTATATGTTTAACTACTCGGCATTTTTTTAAAGAACCGCCTTACATCGTTAAAATCACGTACCTAATCTTATTACGAACAAGAACAAGATTTGTAATGTATGGCGCAATCACAAGGATGTTTCGAAATCACGTAGTTGAGATTCTGTTCTTATGTACAAGTGGATAAGATTCACTAATTATGACGCAAAAGTAAGGATATTTCGAGCAATGTTTGATCGATGACTTATCTATACGGATTTTATGATCTGTTAAACACGCAATGTCATAAAAAAATTGTCCTTGGCCATGTCTTGCGAGTTTTTGTAATACCTTCGAGACCTTCTAGTACTATAACTCGGAGTTGTGTTACTTGGGGTTTGTTATTATTTGATACGGAGTAAACAGTTTTAAAAATTATCAAATGTTTTGAACCACTGATCCAAAGTACACCTCAGCAATGCCGACAATTTCATACGTATACAAAGTTTAATATTTCCGGCTGGTCAAATATCTTATGAATTAGCCCTTTGTTCCTTGTCGTTAGTGAAACAAATTCGAAGAAAATATTTGCTTGGAATTTAATTTTTAATATTTACATTTAAATAATGCTTTAGAAATTACCTACTATACTAATAAACTGATATTACATATTTTATACACAAAGTTTTTGCTAGATCATTTTTAGGCTTTTGCGAAAGATGTGTTCTGTTACATTCAAAGTCAAAGTCAAAGATTATTTATTCCATAGGTAAAATAAATTTACACTTGAAAACGTCACATTTAAGCTTAAGCTACTGCTCGTTCACTACGCTGACCTCC